GTAAAGCTAAAGAAGACCTAAGAGTGCAGCAATAATGAGAATTAACGCTTGTTTACATGCTGTCATCAAGGAACTTTTTTTTCTCAACTAAAAACCAACAGCCCCTAACAGAACCATAAAACACCTTATGATCTCAATTTAGCTCATGGTAGCAAATCCATCTTTTTTGAGATTACAGCCACAATGAACACACTAGTTTGCGAGAGGCACTCACGGGGTGGGGGGTGCCAGTAACACAAACACACACACACACACACACACACACACACACACACACACACACACACACACAAAAAGAAAAAAAAAAAAAAACACAACACCTAGGCAATGGGCAAACAGAGGGTTTGCTGTCTGCTTCAAAAATAGCACCGTTTTTAAAATCTGAGAAAGCAAGCACCTACACACAGCTGCTCAAACAACAATAACACATATTACTATTGCATGTTCTGGCACAGAACTCCGTGTTCCCCTGTTAACTGCAGCTCTGACAGCTGTAGCTAAACAAGGCAGGTGTAAACACAAAAAACAAAGGAGGATCCTATTCCTACCTGTTGCTATAGTTTCAGCGGGAACCCCCTGCAACAGCAATCTAGGAGAGGTGTCAATCTGTGAAACGCTGCCAGTGCCACTGAGCCTGCGCCTTTGCTTTACCCCAACACTGTGGCAACAACAGTAAACACTGTGCCGATCACTGCATGATTCATTAATCCACACACTTTGCAATAAACGAGCTACTCACAAAAAGGTGCCCACTAATGCGTAACTACATATGGGCTTCACTTAATCGCTTTGAAAAGAGGTAGCACAAACAGTGGCCAACTAATCTTAGCTTGCCACTTTATACCAATTTCAAAACAACTTCTACTGCAGCCAAAGATAGGAGTGAGCCCATTGTAAAACCAAAAACTTCGTGTTCCATTCCCACCACAGATAGGGAGAGTAGCTAAATTTTAAAATGTGTTTAAGCAGTCAGTATGGAATGGCCTCCTCTGCTCTACCTTTCAACACTCAGTCACCCCCCTGTGGCTTGATGGGCTGAAAGCCAGCAGGCTACAACATAGGTGTTCTTCTCCCCCAGTAACACTCCTTTGTAGGCTGATATCAAGTTACTGCACACTGGGTTCACCTTTCACAGTTACAGTAACCAAGGCTGAGAACTTCCCATCTTGTCACAGGGCATTTTCTTTGCTCCTAGTAGGCATAAATTAGCAACCAACCAGCATATTAAGTCTTTAAACAACAAGTTTGATTTAGCTGAGAAAATAGCAAAACTCAAATAAGGATAATTCAAGTTTGGCTTACAAAAGTTACAGGTAATAGAAGTTTGCCTTGCAGAGTCTGATCACAAAAATGAGTGCCCACCCAAGCAGTATAGGGCTGACTTTAGCTGAGGGATGTGCTATATAAGCAGATTGAGTGAGAGTTGCTATTTCTAGATTGGCCAGAGCATCATGTGTCAATTAGCTACAAAATAAAGCGGGTCATCTGTTCAAACGACCTACTTCCACAAAGAATAAAATGCCAGTGGAGTCTGAAGACTGCAAAGCATTACAATACTGAAGTTGTGAAAGTCTAACCTTTTATGAAGCAAGAGTATAGACCTTATTGATTACATTACTCACTGCAACTTTCTATTATTTCTGTTGTAGTGTCCCAACATTCCCTTAGCTTTTTTTTCCTGAATGCAATCACTCATCTCATCCTATCAACAGGCAAACCAGGTCACCTTGCAGTGACTCATAATCGGGAGTATATAATTAGCTTACCTGTTACACCAGTTACTGATTGACTCATCCGCCCTGTTGGTAGGATGGCTATTCACTTGTATTAGCCGCCCACTAGAATTTACTACCAGAGGGGAGCCTCAAATCAGTGGAAGGTCATAAATTGAAAACTGAGAGGCATGGGAATGTGCCGCGGCCTTTAGTGTCACAGCTGCTCTAGTCAACTTCCTCCCGAAATGCATTTCCTCATTTCACTTCAACCCACATGGCTAAATGGTTGGGCGCTTGCTGTTTTAGGAAACCAGACGAGGCTAAATTATAGACCCACCTAACTCCAGTGTTGGCCATTTTTTTCTCTCCTTTTTTCGTCGAAACCGAGCAAATTTTCCGACTCCAACCAGACAGCAAGCAATAAAGACAAGGAGCACGACAGTCCAGTCCAGTAGCCGCGACGACAAACATAAACAGACATGACAAATCTTTTGTCGGTTTAAGAAAAAAAAAAAAATCAACCCGTCAGCCTGGCAATTGGCCTTTAGCATATGGGTGAACTATACTGCAGGTCAAGATTTTGTCACAAAGGGCGGAAGGCAGCTGGCTAGCTTAGTCGCCATATAGTTACCACGCAGCTTTCCACAACTACAAATAACTTAAGCATCTTATACACATAACAGTAGTACTACTAGCCAGGACAATTGTTAACGTTAACACAAGTATTCATTGCCAATATGATACACGTTGTTCAGAAGAAATTCTACGGTAACCTGTACACCCTTGCACCGTGTAGCGCTAAGGTAGCGCTAGCACTTGTGGTATTCCGAACGACGGTCAGTTTAGAAAACACCACGTTATGAATACAACTAAACGTATTCTGTTCTAAAAGAAAAACACAAGCTATGACATAGTCCTGTTAGTAGTCCTAATGCTAGTCAGCGATTTTCTTCTTTAGGGAAAAAGCCATAGCCGCGATAGCAAGCTAGCGCAGCTATGTTAGCTAGCGGGCTAGCTAACGCACTTTGCTTTTAGCAGCAATCTTTTAGACCAGCAGCACTGCAACAATCAAGACAAAAGGTAACTGACTCAAGTGCGGATATCACGGATATCTGAGGCAGTGAGAATGAACATTCATACCTTTAACGGGATTTTCAACACCGATTGTAGCACACGATTAAACCGTCTTAAGCTTTGCTCTGCGAGCTACCATTAACGTGGCTACATACTGGACACTATTCTCGGACGACTCCTCATGCAACTTACTTTGGCTGCCCGGCAGTGTGGCGATCACCTAACATATGGAACTCAACTTTTCAGTGGGCTCTAGCGGATCTATAGCACTAGAATTACATTCAATCGAGGCAGAAAGAAGTTCCCAGAGGTTTGCTGAGATCTTTTAGTCATTGAGTACTTACAAAGAGCAAGCTGAACATTGAAATCCCGTGACTACCCCGGAGAAAGTGGAGGGAGTGCAGAAAGCGCTGTCAGATCGCCTTTTTGTTCCTCTTTAGTGTGGCAGCCTGAGATCTCGTCGGAGGTCGGGAACTGTTGTCGGGGAGGAGCCTCCTCCTCAGTTTGTACAAGACCTTCAGGGACCGTCGGAAAAATATCGACCAGGCAGTGCGAATTAATAGTCAACAAAATGAGGGCCACCTGAGAAATCTGCAAACCTCGGAAAACTTTAAACGACAGACGCGTGTATCCCAGATCATCCTAGCATTTTTTTCTTGTTTGTTTGAGTGTTTCCTCGTCACCAATTTAACTATCAGGAAGCGGAAACTGGAATAAAGTTTAAGTGACATGCATGGCAACGTCTGAAGGGATTAGCTTCAAGGTCGTTCCTCACTTTGCTTTAGTGTAGGTAACTTTTCATATCTTCTATTACTTCTCTCTATAACAGCACATGTATGTGCATCAGGTTGTATCTGCGGTCACTGCGCCAGAATTACCGGGATCTCTCGAATGCAGCATGGATGGTCTGACGTCAGTACGACGTAAGAAGAATCCGGTTGACTGATGACAGCTCACCATGGTGACGACAGTTCCAGCAAGTAATAGCACCATATTATCCCTGAACTCATGGGCTGTTTTTTAAAAATAGATTTTATTCTTATCTAAGCACATGGATTGGTTACAAGAACCGTTTTGTTTCGAAAAGTACAGACTGTTGAATCGCCTCCAGTCACGCATCAGAGTTAGTTTAGTTGTTTTAATTAAAAGCCAGCTCATTCATATGTTTGTTTATCCACATTTAATGTAGTTATCTATCCATCCATTTATACTCTTATGCTTACGTGATAACCCATATATTCAACATGCAAAATATTTATGCAAAGATATGTGTTGCTTCCATCTACATCCAGCGAGCTGACCTGAAAAGGAAAAGTCTACCTGTTCCTCTTTTCAGTCCTAAACTTACTATGCAATCACCCATCTCTCCGAGGCCTGAAACGCTGTTTATAATTGTATATCTCCCTCTAGTGTCAGTTCTTTTACGTGCAACAGATTGCTCCGCACACGAGCTACTGAATTTTTACTGTTACTGATTTTTTTTAAGATGTAGTAGTAGCCTCTGTATTCCAGTTAATATATATTTTCTTTGTTACATAACCATACAACAGAAAGTCAATGAAGTTTCACGCCAGCATCCAAGGCATTTTTTTCTTTGTTTTTATTGACGTGGTATCAATACAATCAAGTACTGTAGATTTTGTATAAGCAGACAAACATTTTCAATCAAAAAGGAGTGCATTTTATACCCAAATTCTATTGCATAGTGCACACAATAGCCTTGTAAGACAAAAAAAAAAACCTATACGTTGATACATTGTACATTACACAAATAGAAAATAATACAAATAATCCTTCACAAACAACTCTAGAATGCTAACTACAAGTTGTAAATGCTCTTAACTCATCGATGCTGTTAAATACCATTTATATGTCCCAGGCTTCGGTGGTCAGTTTTGGCATCCCTATTAAATTATCATAAATGTATAAATACATCTTCATTAATTTCATGTGCAAATGGGAATGGCCGTTTGTATACTGAAACTAAAACAAACATATATCCCTTAAGAACCGAAGCAAGGCTTTTGTGATTTTTTTTCTTTTTTTTCCTAATAAAGAAAAACAAAACATTTGCGGTACATGGATCTCAGTGACACTTGTTAAATGATTTGCACACAGAGCAAACTCAGCAAGCAAGTGACATTGTCTAAGAAAATATGAGGACAGAGCGTAACAGCCGCATGTAACTCTCATCACCGTTTCACCGTGTGTCGAAAAAGAGGAGGTGATTCAAAAAAATAAAAGGCAACATACAGTACATAATGAGACTGCTTTGTAGACTCACATAGCAACAATGATACATAGCAGTTGTCGATGTGTTCATGTTATGAGACAGAAAGGGCTAAGAGTAAGTGCATTACATAGAAATAGAAATACTGATTAAGCCTTATCCTCACACTAATTTTCCAAAGCGACGTGAAGAGTTACTGTTTATGCACTGTGACCCACCATAAAACAGTCAAACATTATACATTCATTCTAATGGGAAGGCTAAATGTTTGGCACCATGCTCGTGTACATTGACATTCTTCCATCATGATGTAAGGTAGTCATAATTCAGTGTTTACGAGCGTCAGGGCGGCACAAGTTAGATAGAAGCACCAACCTTTGTTTTGTTTTGCCTAGATTTTATTATCTTTTGTGATTCGTAACTACAACTAGTGAATAAACATTTTGTACATTTCATAGTATGTCTTTTTTTATGTCTTTTTAAAAAAAAAATTGTTGGTTCGTGACTTGGCACAAAGTAGTTATTGCACGCCTTTACACCTTTCATCTTTAGAGTGTTGTAAAGTAAATCTTCTACAAGATTCTCTTTAAAACAAAAAACACAACTCAAAATCTTCTGGTGGAACATTGATGGGACTGTAAGCCGTTCCTACAGTTTTGTAACTTAATTTTAGTTTATTATTATCCTCGCTAACGTTTTCGGGACCTGAACGCCAAGGGAACATTGTGACAAATCCGCACACACAAACGCACGCAGTGACACAGTGACGGGCTGAAGGGTATACCTACTAAGCATACAAGTGCACGCATGCACAGAGTGGATCTTTAATACTTCATCCAACAGAAATGAATAAACACACCTCTGACCTACCACCTCTCCCAGAAATCTGGCGTGGTTTTGTTAAAATGTTACACAACCTGCATTTCACAATCTTCAGGCCCCAGTCAGACCCTTTCACTTATTTATGGACTAAAGGCAAATTGATTCTCATTTCCAGCCGTGCACTTTGACATTATCCGGTTCTGAAACATCCTGGCCACAGATGTTACACTAAGCTCAGCAGTTAAGCAATTTTTGACACATTTGATTTAGAAATAACTAGAAAATCCTGTCATTCAGAGCTACAAATGATTAAAAATTGCTCTTATTTGCCTGACATCTATCACAAACAACACAGAAACTGGCAGTGAAGGACGTAATTGAATTGTTGTTGTTGTTTACTTATCCTTTTGCCTCCTTGTTTTCTCAGCAGACTCAGGTTTTCAAAATCTTTGTGGATTTTGCATCATGTTGTTAAAGGATTATATTTTTTTTCTAATGTGGCAGTGCAGATGGTTCCCTTGGAATCAGGGAAAGGGTTTTTAATGACATTAGAAATCAGTGATGTGATGGTTAGAATGTGTGAACAGGATGCATGGGATAGTGATGAAACCAGATCAACAGAAGGAAAACAGAAGGAAACAGGCCATTGAATCAGCAGTATGTGTGTCCTTACTGTCCATTTGTCCATAGACACTATCTATTTTCTGGCCTGTGAACACTGACTGTGTACATTTTTAACAATGTCCTAAAGAATGATAGTGGGGGGTGATGCAGGGGTCTTGCTTGGTGGTGCTGATCTCTTTAAAGGGCAATTTAAAGGTGTCTACCTTGTTAAATGTGAGGTCATGTTTATTTGTAGAATTAATTGTTCTGAACTGCATGTAAACTAAATTACAAGAAAGAGGAAGACCTATTATTTGAAATTTGTAGGTTACTAAATGCATAGTGAAGCAGAAAAACTCCCTGAACAGGTGCATATGTTCACTATCATTAAATATATCTCACCCTAAAACCAACTGTTGCTGAGTTCAATCACAACTTTTTTTTATGTAGCAACAATTTAAAATCCTAAAAATTTCAGTAAAACTTAATAGTAACACACCACACCAAATACTTCGTTTTGGTATTGTAATGTATGCCTATATTTATTGTGTTGTATTTTGGCTTTTCAATATAATTCTAGCAATTCATGATTTAAATAACACACCAGGGCAACATGACTGCAGCGATGACCTCCCCCTCCCCCCATCAGAGTTTGGTGATGTCGTCCTTGTGTCAGAGCATGTGGGCAGGTTGTGCAGTCACACGGGAAGGTTTCTAGCACATTAAAAAGTAAGGCACTAAATAGTCTGAATCCAATAAACAACAACAACAACAATGATGACATGGACCAAATAATAACAATAAAATTATGACAATATAATAATTAAAATAAGCTAAAAGCTTAAAAAAACACAAACATAAAACACAACTAAAACACACATTTGAAGGACACTGAAATAAAGAACACAGTATGAAATTCCTTCCCCTGCCTTTAAAAACTCACTTCATTCACAAAGTTTTTGTTTCACTTGTGCTGTTGAGGGCGAGACAGATAAAGACTATGGCAATAATATTGAGTATTTTATGGGTTTTGTGTTTCTATAATGGCTGCAGGTATTTTAGGTTAAGGGCTGCACTGAGGTGCCAATCTAGCAACATCTTTTAAGGAAAAGATAGGGTTATGTGGGACAGAGCAAGAATCCTGAGAAGGAAGAATGGATGTACTCTGTAGAATATAGGCCATTTGCCTGATCTGAAGGCATCTGGACCCATACCTGGTCACCCTCCTTCAGCTCTAAGACTGCACTACCAGATGCCTGGTCCATGTAGCCTTTCTTGTATTCATCATATGTGTAAGTGGCTGGTACATTGTTCTTATACAATGCTACCCACAGGCTAGTTCCCTTTACATGCATGTGGTATGCAAAGTAGTATATACCAGATAAAGGAGCAGTGAATATGCCAGTAGAAGAGCTGTAGGCATTTTGCCCATTGTAGAGGGTCCTGTCAAATTTGATTGGCATGCCTGAAGGAGGGAATGGTGTGGTAAGGACAGCTGTGAAGGCTGGTGCCACAGAGGCGGACAATGGAACTTGACTATATGCAGGGCCTTTTCTGTCATCTGGAATTTCTCCCCCATCTAACTTTGAACTCTCTGGCCCTGCAACAACTGTATGGCCATTTCCTGGAGGCCCAGGGGGTCCTGGAGGGCCAGGAGGCCCAGGTATGCCATTAAGTCCAGGGGAGCCTTGTTTCCCTGGAGGACCCTGGGGACCTATAGGACCTTTCTCACCCAACTTGCCCAGCCCTGGAGGCCCTGGAAGTCCTTGTTCACCCTTTAGGCCAGGGGGACCCTGTGGACCCATGGGACCCATGGGCCCCTGAAGACCAGGAATGCCCGACTGGCCCCTGGGGCCTGGAATTCCCATAAACCCTGACTCCCCTTTAGGCCCCGGGGCACCTGTTATACCAGGATTCCCAGGGGGGCCAATATGCCCAGCCTCACCTTTAGGTCCAGGTTTTCCGATAGGACCATTGGGCCCAGGGATGCCCTTTTCCCCAGGCATACCAGGTTTTCCAGAGTGTCCATTGGGGCCTTGGTCACCTCGAAGGCCAGGCAGTCCAGGAGGCCCCCGGGGCCCGAGCTCTCCCTTCTGTCCTGGTATTCCATGTTTTCCTGGCAATCCCATTGGACCTTGAAGTCCTGATGGTCCTGGTTGTCCATCAAGTCCTGGCTTCCCAACTGGTCCAGTTGGTCCTTGTTCTCCTTTATCCCCCGGGAGACCTGGAAATCCACCATGTCCCTTTTCTCCTTTTAGTCCATTTGGACCAGGTTTTCCATAGCCATTAGTTCCAGGCATTCCAGGAGTACCCCTGGCCCCAGATTCACCTTTTGGACCTTGTGGACCTGGTGCTCCAGGAAGTCCATCTAGCCCAGGCTTCCCCAACCCAACTGGCCCTGGCAAACCTTGTAGTCCCGGGGGCCCTGCCTCTCCTGGGAGTCCTTGATCACCTGGGAGTCCATTATCACCTTTAGGACCAGGTACTCCAGGCAAACCTTTTAGTCCTGGTGTGCCAATACCTGAAGGACCAGGTGGTCCAATACTCCCTTTTGGGCCAGGAGAACCCCTTAGACCTGGAAGCCCTGGATTCCCATTTCCATTCTCGCCCTTAGGCCCACGATCACCTGGTGGGCCAGCTATACCCTTTATTCCTGGCTCGCCATGGACCCCAGGGGGGCCTCTCATACCTGGAAGCCCAGGTTTCCCATTCAAGGACAGTCCAGCTGGGCCAGGAAGCCCAGGATGCCCGGGAGGACCACGGAGACCTGGTTCACCACGAGGGCCTACCTCACCATTAACCCCAGGCATCCCCTTTGGCCCAATCTTTCCTGGGAGTCCCGGAAGTCCAGGCTTACCAATTCCCGTAAAGCCTGAAGGTCCCTGAGGACCTGGTGGGCCTTGGGAACCAGGCTTTCCCAGTCCAGGTTTCCCTGGAACGCCTGGTGGTCCAGGGGGACCTCTTGGTCCTGGTTTCCCTTGGGGGCCGGGTTCCCCCTTCACTTCCATCATGGGTGGCATATCTAGGAAAAATATGTACAGGTTGTTAGGACTACTGTTACAGGTATTATTATCATCATCATCATCATCATCATCATCATTATTAAGTACTTTAAGTAAGTATTTTTTTAAATTGCTGATGTCCGAGAGAAAAGATGTCATCTCAATCCACACTACTATGGTGACTGGATTTTAATAACTATCTGTAATACAATTAGTTGAATTCTTTGAGAAGAATAGATAAGATTCTCTAGACTACTTTATACTACTTTGTACTTAGCTGTTATGGAAACTGACAGACTATCCATCTTTTCAATCAACAAGTGTCTGTGAGTTTATCATTAAAGAACTGTTTGAATCAAAATATATTTTTTATTGAAGAAATTTTTCATTTGTAAAAATACTAGGTAATTTTTTAAATAAGAGTTTAACTAGTACTACAAAAAGAAGGCATAAAACCAGGCTGGTTGTGTTCTTCTGTTGTGAAATCAAAGAATTAATTATCTACATACAAGAAACACTGAAAATTCGAGAAATACACAAAATATATTACATGATTATTATCTAAGAAATTAATACTTTGCATACTTCAGTATGAGTTTAGAGACTGAAAAGTCATATCTTAATCAGTGGCATAATTCATTTCCATTTCATTTTCTTTTACTTCATCAGTGCTGTGAGTGGCTGAATATTACCCAGTCTGAAGGTACTCTATTAGACTAAATTCTGGAAAGGTCACCAGTCCATCACTTGTTATGTAATCACAAGTGACAAACACTTGTCACTGAGTTACCTTTGATGTTGTCCTAACTGACTCAGTTGGAGTTCCTGTTAAGGTTATTGGAGTTTACTTTTGATTTTGAACCATAGAGGAAAACAGCATTAAAAGTGTGCCACAGGTTGTAAACTCTGTCATTAATCTTTCCTATAACAGTGGAGTGCAACACAGCCAGGCTTAAACAGGAAAAAAAAACAAATAACACAGTTACTTAGCAACACAGTTCCTGTCTATTGCACTCCAAGTCTGATTAAATGGTGAATGTTAGCTAATAACAAGGAGATCTTTGTCAAATAGAACTGAGGTTGATTGCAAAATGTCTATTACTTGATGAGCTTGCCCTATCTGATCCATTTAGTCCTTTAGTCATGTGAATTGTTATTCTTAAACCTTGGTTTAAGGTTGATGTGGTTTCCTGTTTGCTGCATCCTGTTCATCCCTAGAATGTCACCCTTGCCAGGCCTTTGAACACTTTCCAGAAATAGTTCATGGCATTCCTAATGGAACCATGGACCAATATTGCCCCCTACAGATAGCTGAAATTTTCAAGCAGTTTGCTATTGAGCACACCAGAAAGATCATTGCTAGTGTTTGCAAATGACTTAGCAGAATTGCTGTTTTACTGCAAGGGATAGCATAATGTGTGAGGTCTGTGAAAATATGAGGCCAAAGAAAAAGGACTGACAGGCTGCATAGTGATCCACAGAGCTGTTTTCTTCCAGCACATAGCAGGATAATATTTTCTTTTTTGCTACTGTTATGCTACATATTTTGTTCTGTATAGTGTTGTGTATATTAAGGTTTTTTTGTTTGTTTGGTTTTTTTTACTGTAGTTTAGTGTATTGTGTGACCATAGGAGGAAATGGTTTGGTACAGTAAGAATTTGCTGTGACAGCTTGCATGAAAAGACTTTTAGGAAATTAGAAGATGAGGATTTCAGCATTTCAGAATCTGACAAAGTGTGTAAACATTTTGACCACTATAATTTACATAGTGGCTAAAACTTACTTACTGACAGCTCCCTAATTTTGACACATAATTTAATGTTTGGGATGAGATGCAGCTGTTTGTGGGTTGTTTTGCTACATGTATGAGCTGTTATGTGAAATGAAAAAAAAAAAAAGAAATTTCAAAAATGTTAAGACAAATATGCCAAAATAATTCAGAAGAACTGCACCGTACCAGACTATTATTTTCTGGGGTAACTGACTTCTGTTGTGTATCAAAGTGAATGCTATACTACGCTGATATAAACAGCACAAGAGGCTTTACATGCTGCTTTGTAATGCAAAAGAGCACTTACATTTGCATGTACTTTTAGAGAGCGATTTTATTTTTCCTGCAGTGGTCACACAACAAAGTAAAGAGAAAAAAGCACAGACAATTTATAGAGCAGTGCACAGAACAGAACTAGTCCACAGTGCCACAGCTTCTCAGTAACCTCACACAGGGGCTTATCCCTCCATATGTCTTATCTATGGGCATCCTCTTTCCTCTGTAAAATGTTTACCTGAGTACCTGGTCCTTCATGTTGACACATTTTCATAACTCTGATGTGCTCAAGTCACTTCTCACTAATCAACTGTGGGATCGCAGAGTTAAAAAAAAAAAAAAAAAAAAACTAAATTTATTACACAACATCAGATGACTCACAGAAATAATTCTGGAGAATAAAGCTGTTCAACTGAGACACAACCTACTTCAAAAAGTGTTAAACAGCCAAAACCTGTTCACACTGTAGGGAGCTGTGCTGAGAATGCTAAATGCTCTCACTGTTTCTCTTTCATTTCATTCATTCAAGACTTTCTCTAATTATTTTTTGCTAACTTCAACTGTTGTTTGTTTGAGAAGTGAGCCAACAAAACTGAGAAAAGCTATAAAATCTAAAACAAAGTAGTAAAAGCATGCTATGCACTGTGCACACTGTAGTATTGTACATTTATGAATGTTTACATTTAAATAAATGCAGTCCCTCTGATAGGATGGGGAGCACAAGGAGTCAGAAGATTAGGTTGTTAGGAAAAACTTGAACATATAACATTTTACAGCACCGTTAATATAGCACACACAGAAGAAAAATTAGGTGCCTCAAACCAGAGATAATGATATGGCATTATTTTTTGAGATGCTAAGCCAACCCAAAAAGTCAGGCTGTCTTAGCCGACTGTGGAAAAGAGGCAGTCAGCTGCTCCATTAGAGGACTGAATAATTTCATTAGTAATGCAGTGTGGACACATTACCACACAGTGGCAGCAAACTCATATTCAATGTACCACATATATCAGAAATCCAACTTCTGCCACATTCTTTTCAATTCTATTTATACAAAGCATGCCTTTAGCTGAGATACACTCCTTGTATAGGTCTTTGATTTTTTTTGTCTGCCATGACTGGGACAGTTGTCATCTTATTAGCCTGTCTGTATGTCTATCAGACCAAGTGCAAAAATGTGGTTCTGGTGACACCTACTGAAAGGTGAATTCCAGCAAAGACCAATGACATATTCCAATTTGATGCTCTATTATGCCCTATATCTTTTAATTATGGTGCCACTGGCCTTGCAAATGGTGTAGTTAGAGTTAGATTAGAACTGATTTAATCTTTTCTAGATTTTTTTTTTTACATTCTCTCCTGGGGGATATGTAATAAATGGTGATATCCAGTTGGTAAGACAAGTGATTTCAGCACACAATGTGCAGTCAGAGCTTCATGTGATTTGGTGCTTTAGACATAAGGCTACATTTTATGGAGGTAGTTCATAACCCCAGTTTCAAAAACGGGTGGGATGCTGTGTAAAATGTAAAATGTGTGTTTTATAAAACACTGAATGCAATCATATGCAAATCTCAAAACCCCATATTTTATTTAAATTAAAAAAAAAACTTTTAGAAAACATCAAATGTATAAACCGAGAAAATGTACCATCTTAAGAAAATACTAAGGTCATATTTTGAATTTGATGTCAGGTAAACGTTTCATAAATGTTGGGACAGTGCAGTGTTTCTCATTGTATAGCATCCTCTCTTCTTTAAACAACTGTCTATAAATGAATTAGAACTGAGGAGACCAACCGCTGGACTTTTGGGAAAGGAATGTTGTCCCATTCTTGCCTGATAGATTCTAGCTGTTTAACAGTCCTGGGTCTTTGTTGTGTTTTTTGTTAAGGTGGTCTGGACAGAAGGCAGGCCAGTTTAGAATCCGCACTCTTCTACTACAAAGCTGCGCTGTTGTAACAGATGCAGTATGCAGTTCAACATTGTCTTTCTCAAATATTCAAGGCCTTCCCTGAAAAAGACGTCATCAAGACGGGCGCATACTGTGTGTTTCTCTAAAACCTGTATTTTACTTTCAGCATCGAGCATCGTGCAAGCTGCTAGTTCCATAGGTGTTAATGCACCCCCATACCAACAGAGATGCAGGCCATTAAACTGATCACTGATAACAAGCAGGATAGTCCCTCTCCTCTTTAGTGCAGAGGATGCATGTTTTCTAAAAACACATTAATTTTTCTGATTTGTTTTAACAAAAAACAGTTTCCCACTTTGCCTCAGTCCCTTTTAAATGAGCTTTGGTCCAGAGAAGTCGGCAGCATTTCTGGACCATGTTGAGTTCTTTGCACGATGAGCATTAATCTGAGTTTTTCTGATACACTGGCTACATAGGGGATGACAATGTTGTTGTGTCAAAAACTGGTTCACCCGAAAGACAAAACTCCAAAACACAGACTTAACAATGTGGTGTATGCTGTACAGTGCAGCGAGGAATGTCCAGACCTCGACATTGGAGAGACCAAACAGCCACTTCACAAGCGCATGGCACAACACAGAAGAGCCACCTCCACAGGACAAGACTCAGCAGTCCATCTGCATCTTAAGGATAAAGGACACTCTTTCGAGGATGCCAATGTTCACATTTTGGACAGAGAGGACAGATGGTTTGAAAGAGGAGTGAAAGAAGCCATTTATGTCCACTGTGAGCGACCATCTGTGAACAGAGGCGGTGGTTTACGACACCAACTCTCTGCCATCTATAATCCAGTTTTGAGATCCCTTCCCAGACGCCTTAACGCCCACTCACATCCTGGGCCATCTGACCTCAGGAATTCGCATGATAAGGTGGGGCCAGGTTTCACAATGAGCTCACCCGAAACCCTGGCTGATTGGGACCCACACCCAGTTTCACACCTTGGCTCAGGCGATTAGAGGATCATCAGGGGGTCCTTTTGTCCCTCTGTGGGGGGACACTCCCACTAGGTTTATATCTGGGACTCTCCACCATTTGACCTTAGAACTGAAGAAGCTTCTCGGATGAGAGGTGAAACGTCTTCAAGCAACTTAAAGAAGTCCAGACGCTTTTCTTTACAAGTTTATGAGTTTTACAAATCTGTACAATCTGTTTGTTTGATTTACATTTTATACAGTGTTGCAACGTTTTTGGAACGGAGGTTGTAAAATGGCAGTTATCAGCGTTTTCCAATGACCTAAATGACCAATCAGTAAAGTGTGAGGGGACCTATTAGACTGCTTTTAGAGGACCAAATGAGACATAAAAGGGGATACATATGCCACACTCACAGGAACTACTCACCAACATAATGTCCTTTGCCCTCGCGAAACGGAGGTCCAATAGGCCCCTTCATCATGGGCTGAATGTACTTCATGTGGGGTATGGGGGCGTACCCTCCGGCAAAAGCAGGCACCACAAGCATCAGTAGCACAGAGACAGGAGCCAGCAGCATGGTCAACAGCATCCCAGGCTTTAGGTGTCACACGCAAAGAACTGAAGGGAACAGAGAGAGGACACAGAAAAATAAAACCCACTTTCACTCTTTGGTCCATCTTACTGAACATTTTACAATGCCAGACCTTCAGAAAGTCACTTAAGTGATGCGAGAATTTAGCTCCCTGAGTGTACATTTATTGGTAATGGCTGTTAAATGAATTTACTTCAGGTTTCTGAAGTAATGCAGTGGCATCTTTTTCCTTATGTCCTCTATGAGAAATTGAAGCGTATAGTGTCTTGCTTTTTCAGATATGTTAAAGACAGACACTGGGTATTTATAAAAAACGATACTTTAAAATTTATATGAGCAAACACATTATTTAGGCACAAAAATAACATACAGTTATTACAGTATAGTATTTGTTCAGCATAGTCTAAGGCTGTGTTTGGTTTAGATGGCACTTGGCAACTGCGTAACTTTCATTTCTTCATTTTCACAACCACAATCAGACTGCTGACCAGCAGCGACTGTAGGTGTGCTGGCTTCAAGCAGCGTGTTAAAGACTCCTGTTTCCACTGCAACTCTCCCGTGAACTCTTTTAATCAGCTGTCTTTGAACAGATGACTGTCAGGAGTTATTTTGTGATGGTGTGACATGCAAAATGTCATTTCGGGCTCACGCTGCTTGTTTTTAAATGCCAACCATGTCGCGCTTAAAAACTCAGAAAGAACAAGACAATGCACCGCACAGCCATGAAAAACTATGTGCCTTGAATTGCTTTCTTTAAACTGGCTCATCATCCATTTAGGGAACAGAATAATAATAGGGCTTAGTGGCAGCACTGGAGGCTGGTTTGATTTCTGACAGTTACTTTGATAAATTTGGGTCATTATTTTAAGCACAAGTAGAATTCAGAACCACTGTAGCCATGCTATAGCAGGTCTCAGTCACTATGAATCATATAAGGCTCCCGGTCAGTGTGTTATAGCAGCATCCTGTGTAGTTACATGAAAAAATAAATAATGGCATCCACAAATCTCTTCTTTTATTATGAATGCCTGTCTTGTCGTGTTCATTTTGTGAGTTTGAAGCTTGTTAGTCTCTGCATTCAACAGCAAGAAGAGCGATCACTCTGAAAGCACACGCCAACACTAACTGACATTTGCTAATCTGAAAATTGCACATTGCTGTTAATTGGCAGCATCATTAGGAGTAATTGGGGGTATTCACAGTGGTTTTTAAATCACAGATGCTCAGAAAAAAAAGGTGTGTTTATTGCCACCATATGTGCTGACTCCAGGTCTCCTTTACAGCTTTTCTCCTGCTGTGTGGTTTTTTTTTTTTTGTGACTGTTTAATAATTGCATAGCTAGATTGTTCAATTCCTGTTTTAGAGCAATTTATCAAAGTGTTTGGGAATTTTTGGGGTTCCTTTTACAAATTATGATTAGTCTGTGGTTTATGCTTGCTTATGCTGTAAGGAAGAATCAACGATCTCTCGATAAGTGTTCAAATCAAAATGTAATCTATGGGAAATCACGAAAGCGCAGAAAAAGATGTTAAGAGAAATAAACAGGAGAAAAAGAGAGCCGCGTTGGTAAGACGCCGTTTGGTCGCTGGCCGACTTTCTGGCTGGCTGGCAGGGGAGCTCGTCTGGTATGGGGGTCTGCGGTTTTTGGTGCAGATGCAATTTAACAGGCAGCTCTGGATGCCCACCATTCTGCAAGGCATCACAGAAACTGTGCACGAACAGGGACAAGTCACAGACAGGCACTTGGGAGACCTTTGCAATCTGTTTATCAAGTATTTAATTTGTAGATGTGGATGTTAAAAATGCAATCCCGTCTGTCTGGCCACCGCTGGACTCATACGAGCTCTCTCTCACACAAGAACACCCACGTAACAGAACACACACTCTTGGTACGCATGAGAAAGCAGAAGACTTCTAGAAAGCAGTTATACAGGGTGGCTTAAAAATACTTGAAAACCTGTTAAGTTTCACCCACTTTCACATGAAATCATTCCATTCAAAACACATCATAACAAACCCCAAGTCTGAACGTGGAGTGGAGGGGGCTCATGATGAATGAAAGCCTCTTTCAACCATTAAACAACGAGCAGGATCCAAAGTTACAGCGCGAAAGCTTCGTCTGGCAGGACGGGTGACGCATTATACAAAACAGATCTGACCGAAAAAAGACAGAATACAGCAACAGAGCCAAAAACACACAAGGACAGAGCACAAAAGGAACATTAACGAAGAAATAAAAGAGAGTGTCGCAATGAACGGTGAAAGGGCACCACTCATTCATTTTGTTACAGAAGTGATCATCACTTTTGCTTTATATCTATCTTTTGCAGCTTTGCACCTCCCTGTGGCCGTTTTAAGCCATGCTCTGATGGTTTTCTATGGAAGGGCACTTCATCTCTCATCATCATATCATTTCTGAGAAAAGCCAAGAGTACCTGTGGGGCGTACTCGCATTCTCCACATAACTGTATGAACGAGAGGATTATTAGCTGTGTTAATATTATCAGATGATTATGATGATAGCATATGGAGTCATAATTACAAGATCATTTTGTTTGCATCTCTTTCACCGCAGCTTTGCAAATGGAGCATAGATTTCCCTTAGGTAATCACCTTTCTTGAACATGCATTGGACATCACTTAAAACGAGCCAAAAACCTTAATCCACGCAGGCTCTGAGCCGCCAAAGCAGACTCGGCATCTTCCAAACCCAAATTCAGAAGCATCTCAAGTGGCTTGCTCAGACAGACGAGGAGACACAATTCCCTTACTGCTGCGTCTGCCTTCTAATATAATCAGCGCTGAGGAGGTGAGCTCCAAGGTACTCTGCTTCCATTTCCCCTAAGCTGTGCATGTGCAGGACCAGACCGCCAGACATTTCCTAAACCATGCGGCACAGACAGATTACAGTAGGTACACTGAGTGTGAGGGTTCTGTGTCATGGGGGGAAGAGGAGGTGATTGTTTTTGTGGTGAACATTTGAGCCGCTCCCTGAGTGGAGAACTCATCACCTTAACATCATGTAGGGCATTATGCCGGCTTTCATAAAAAAGAGAGAAAGAAAGAAAGAAAAAACACCAAATGGTTCAAGAACAACCAAGGCCTATAGCGGTTAAATAGTTTGGTTAAAACCACAAGCCTCGCAGGGAGGACGGCACTTAAAACCTGACCAAATATTTTAGCTGATTCATCCCATTCTGAAAAACCGTAGCCACAGCCATTACCATAACCGTTCCTAACTCCAACCATGAACCCACAAGTCTTACCCAGGTCCTATTCCCAAGATCTCTTCCATTATCAGCCCAGTTTTTTTGTGAATTTAACAAGCAAAGGTTAGAAAGAGGAGACATTCTGATACTATCAAGGGCGCTTCTTTACACTTTTGGCTCTGTGTGATGTCAGTTAAGAGTGGATATCCTTAAAATAGTCATCTCAGGCACACAGCTAGAGCCCAAATCATGTTCAAGTCCTCTGCTTGTGAGGGGAAGTCAATGAGATGAAAGATTGGCTCCCTTAGAGTGAGAAAGGAGCTGAAAATGGGCACAACAGCCATTGCAACCCTGGAATAGAGAGAAAAGGGAGAAGATTTTTCAAATTCAGTTTATACATTTGTGGTTTATTAATCAATCTGCAGTCTAGACAAGTGAGTGTTAATGCCCTTAGCGGATTTGTAGTTGAAATACATGCACCTGGAGATGTCAAGAAAAACAAATGCACAAAGTCTATTGAAAGACAGAAGAGAAGGTCTGCACAGCAGTTACGAAACACAGTTTGTAGTGAGTCTAAGGGCTTGTGTATGAAGGGGCGAGAAAAGTGAGCATGTTTTTCTTCGAGAATCACCTTCTTTAGTATGAGGTAATCCCTCCAACAGCCTCGGTGGCACATTAAGGTGTCAGCTCCGAGCGTAATATTTAAGCTGCGGTCACAATTTTTGCTGGCTTTGAATAACTCAATATTGTGCAAATAAGCAGCAGGGAAACAGCACGGCTGTTCACATAACATGGCTGCGTGTGCATAAAGGTGGCCACTAAGCTAATGCATATATAATGAGACATTAACATCTGTTATTTTAGTTACCAGCAGCTGGAAAAATGTATGAAAAGTTTTGTTTGGTTGTTTCTCAGGAGAAAAAAGAAAAGGAAAAAAAAGTCCCCTTTGACCCGCCACAATAAAAGCCCCAATGTCCTCTTATTTGTGTTTCCACTGAATCATAAGTTAAGTATAAAGCAGCCATAGGAAACACAGTAAATAATTCTTTCTAATGTCGAGACATGAGGTAGACTATTTATACTGATCCACATGATATGTACATGACCACACATTTACAAATACCCAGGCACACCAAATCAAACAGCTCTCAGAAAGGCGCTCACTCACAGACATCATCCAATGATATACACCTTACAGGATGAAATACTCTTTATATCCCTTTACATTTACAAGAGCCATGAGATGTCCAAAGGGGAACGAGTTTATGTTGACGCCACTGTTAAAGAGGGAGAACATGTGAGAATAAAAGGAAATGAAGGCCGAGTAAATTGTGGGGAGCTGTGGGGAGAGTGAAGAGGTCACAAAGAGGGTTTTCTTTTCTTGATGACTTCACTCAGAGGAACACGTCTAATATCCTAGGGCACTTAATCTGAGTGCAGAAGCAGACTCGCTAATCATAAAACTGCAAGTCGATGTATTGTACTCATGAACAGGTCTCTGTGTGAGGGACAAAGGGTTAAAGCAGTGAAAGTGAGGCTAATTAGTCTCAGAATTATAAAGCTCCAGGACCTCACACATGTCCAATTGCATGGGAGTTTTACAAGGGACCATTATATGCTCTTCAGTTCCTAGCAGGAACAGCTTCAGGCCCATGAAAAGTAATCCATTCCAGCATATTAGCCAGACTAACCCCCATGCTGCTTTAGCAATTCATGCTCTATCACCTCATCTTTATATGTAGTATTTGGAATCAGGATGAAGCAGAGAGAGAGAGGGATTTTGAAAATCTGCAAAACACCCAGAGTTACCCCAGACC